GAATAGTGCCTAACACAGCCTGTACATATTTGCCTTTCTCAATACAAATTCTAACAAAAATACACAAAATGAACAAAACTTACACAAAATAACAAGCAGTAGCGGATCTAGAAGCTGTCAATAGGAGGGAGAGGGGGGCCAAATGTAGGGCTCCATCCACAATCCCATCCCACAATGAATATCAACAAAATACTGGCTATAACACTGAACCCCCCTCTCTTCCCCTTTAAATCTGTGTCTGATGACAAGCACCAAAGGAATCAAAGTCTGTATACAAGCCTGAAAATGTCTGTGACAGATATCTTAGACCCAATTATAAACACTTCCCTTTTTCAATACAAATTCTAAAAGCTAATTCGAGTAAGGTCACCTGTCCAACCTCGTGGGTTTTCTTCGGGTGCTCTGGTTTCCTTACACTGCTAAAGACCAGGACACAAAATCGAATTACTGAAACAAAATGGAACTATAAGTTAGTCCCAAAATGACACCTAGTTTGTGTCTAAGGACATTAAATCTCTCTCTCTCTCTCTCTCTCTCTCTAAAACCTACCTTTTACTTCTATTATCTGTGTCTATTACTACAGACCCTGCTCGTATTAATATACATCTAGATATATATATATTACAATTTACAACTCACATAATAAATAATCATGTATATATTAATAATATCTAGCTATATTAGCCGAGTGCTGTAGGTAAAAATCAATAACCTATCATAAAAACTGTATGATCAAATTACAAACAATACCTACATGTATAGCTCGGTTTCATACATAATAATATTCTATCTTATCTATGTAATGTTTACTACCTGCACGTCATGTCAAATAATGTTAAGATAAACTTTTATCATGTATTCACTGCATGTGTGTATATATGAGAGAGAGAGAGAGAGAGAGAGAGAGAGAAGAGAGAGAGAGAGAGAGAGAGAGACATGGGGTTTAAAGTCCACTCCACACAAACTAGGTCATTTCGGGACTAACATATGGTTTAATTTTATTTCAATTATTCATTTGCGCGTAGGTGTCTTTAGCATTGAAACCGGAGGACCTGGAGAAAACCCACGAGGTTGGACAGGCGACCCTACTCCTTGTCACATACAACCGGGGAATCGAAACCACGCCAGTTGACTCAATGACAGACCTTATGATACAGCGTTCACATGCTAACCATTCGGCCATCCAACCCCGCCCTTCTTATGAGACAAAAAGACAAATCCTTCAGATCATAAAATAAGACAAGTCCTTCTGGCATTACAATAAGACAAGTCCTTCAGATAATACAACAAGATAGGACAATAATCCTTCAGATGGGACAATAAGACAATTCCTTCAAAAGAGATCACAAGATCAATCAGCAATTTATAAAGATCTATCAGTGGAATGAATAATAAAATAGAGGTAAATTCGGAATCAATATTGAAAATGTATGTTGAAAACACAACCGTTTCTATTAGTCAAAGTTATTTAAAATATCATGAAACATTTAAAAAATACAGATCTACCATCAACGTATATAAATATTTTACCTATTAATCAAAATACTAAAATATTTACGACAAAACCAGTTCATCCTTAACTAGTTCATATATATGAACCATATAATATGTATTATATTCTTTCATTTAAAAATAGAAGCGATCATCAAAGAGAAGGATCAGTTACAGTATTAAAACCTGAACATTATTTAACTATTAATCTCAGATTAGACTTGCCATAAATTCACACATTGAAATAAATTCAGGAAATGTTTAAGTGAAATAATCTTTTATCTTGAACAGTTTTTTTTCTCATGAGGTTAAGTTATAAGTATTTCATGAAATAAAATGTGGTTTGATGTCCTACTTTTCTGCACTACTTTTCTGTGCCATGAGGGAAATTTTAACGAACAGTGGAACTACAAATCCCAACTGTCAAGGGTTCTTTACGTGCGCGTCAATGTGTATATGGGACCTCGGTTTTCCGTCCCATCCGAACGAGACTGTTACTTGTCAGGACAATAAGATGATTCCTTCAGATGGGACATTAAAACAAGGCTTTGTAATGATACAATAAGACAAGTCTTTCTGATGGGACAAAAAGACAAAAACTTCAGATGGGACAAAAAGACAAATCCTTCTGATTGGACAATAAGACAAGTCCTTCTGATAGGACAAAAAGACAAAAACTTCAGATGGGACAAAAAGACAAATCCTTCTGATTGGACAATAAAACAAGTTCTTCTGATAGGACAAAAAGACAAAAACTTCAGATGGGACAAAAAGACAAATCCTTCTGATTAGACAATTAGACAAGTCCTTCAGATGGGACAAAAAGACAAATCCTTCTGATTAGACAATTAGACAAGTCCCTCTTATCAGTTCCTTGGACTAACACATGATTCAATTTTTATTCAATAATTTGCTTGCGCAAACAGGTCTTTAACAGTGGGATGAAACCTGGAGAAAACAGGTTGGACAGGTGACCCTACTCGGTGTTATGTGCAAGGTTGGGATAGAAACCATGCTGCTTGACTCAATGACAGACCCCATGATCTAAAGCTCGCATGTTAGACCACTTGATCTTCTAATCACCCTCTTACTGTTTAAGAGTCTGTAGAATTAATGGACAGACAAATACTCAATTGATGAAGTTGAAATGCCGGTAAAAAAACAATGTGTTACTCCTTTTCGAGGCTGAATGAAGGAAAAAATAAGGACTGCAGCTCAATTTCCGTTGGAGATTAGTGGTTTGTTGTGATTTAATGAGGTGGTTGTAGCCAGTAAATTGAAGATTAATGATTTCCATAGAGAACATTTACGATCGTGAATATACTACGTCTCAATCAGGCTTCAAAGAACTTTATTATTATAGTTTACACTGCTTGAGATTGCCATATATAATTTAATTAAGGAAGTTCATAAACTTAATTTTCAAATGTAGTCTTAAACTTAATAGTAAGTGCAGGAGGACCGCACTACACGCAAAACACAAATCTACAAGATAAACCTGCGGACAAGACAGAAAATAGACATTGCACCAAATAAAAAAAATATCAAATCAAGTGAATGGATCCGGGGTTTATAATGTAAAATCCATTCACTTGATCAGATATATAATAATAATAATAATAATAATAATAATGAGGTTTTATATGGCGTCTTCTCCATGATGACACATGCTCAAAACGCTTTTAGTAATTGCTCTACTGGTAAGACAGGAAAGTCTTTAGTACGGATTTAAATTGATTAAAAGTCTGTTGATTCTTGATCTGCTGTGGAAGTTCATTCCATAATCTAGGATCAATATTTACCGAACCCCCCCCCCCTCCCCGGCCTCCTCCCCTCCTGGAGATTTGGAAAGAGAGACAGAGTATGCATAGTCCATTTTATCCATAATATAAAACTGTTTCCATGGTATTTACTAATTAAACAGGAAATACACATGTCACAATTCTATGTAATACAACAATCCAATAGTGAGGCTGATGTCCCCTGCCGCAATCCCAAAATAAATAGATGACACATATTAATTAATTGCACATTTATCTTTTTGAAAAGTATCGACCAATCAAACTAATTATCAACTATACACTAAGTTTCATCACTCTCTATCAGATAGAATCAAAGTTATCTACTCACATAGCACCAACCAACGAAATTGCTTCGCTCTGCTTAGCTTTAGCTCGAAATGTTAATCATTAAACATACAGTCAAGACATTCACCTAATCATGGACCTTATAATACTGTATTATAAGGTCCATGACCTAATGAACATTTGCATCAAGTTTAAACATTCTACCTCAGTTAAACGTAGAGTTGTTATGTTCCAAAGTCTTGACCAACCAAATTGCTTATCGCTCCTTAGCCTATGCAGAAAATTCTCATCATTGAACTTAGTCAGGGTAATGATATAATGAATCTACACACAGAGTTTCATCACTGTCACCTAATTATAACCAAAGTTATCATATTCCAAAATCTCAACTAATCAAATTGCTTATCTCTATTTAGTACAAAATGTGCAAGATGGAACACTGTCAAGACATTCACCTAATAGACACCTACACCAAGTTTGAACATTCTACCTTAATTAGAAGGAGAGTTATTGTGTTCTTAAGTCTCGACCAATCAGATTGAAGTCTCTACTTAGTCTAAGAAGAAAATGCTTATCATAGAATGTAGTCAAGGTATTGACGTATTGAAACTATACACAAAGTTTCACCACTCTCACTCAATTAGAATCAAAAATATCGAGCTCCAAAGTCTTGACCAATCAAATTGATTATCCCTCTGCTTAACTTAGGCAGAAAAGGCTTATTATCGAACTTAGTCAAGGTATTGATATAATGAAACTATACACCAAGTTTCAATACTCTTACTTAATTAAAACTATAGTCATCGTGTCCCAAGGCATCAACCAATCAAATTACTTATCTCTGCTTAGCCTAAGCAGAAAATGATAATCTTCGAACTCCATCAAGGCATTCACCTAATAAACACCTAGCTCAATTAGCAGAGTTATTGTGTCCCAAAAAGCGTGACCAACAGACAGACAGACAGACCCATTTTAATAGTCCCCTGTTTTCTTTGAAAGGCAGAGGACAATTACTGATCATTACTGAGTGACTAATAAATTTCTGTTAGCATTATGCGGTCAGAATGATGTTTTACATGGGCCCATAAATGTTGAAACAATCAGATTTCGAGATTATATTTCAATTTCATTACAACAAATTTCATTAAGTAAATTTGAACAACAATTTGAACGTCTTCCAAAAATTAATCAAATAATTCAAGGTTTCAAGTGTGCAATAAGATAACTATTAAAACAAGTGTGGAATCAAGTTCTTAAATCCAAACAGCAAGAAAATGATCCTTTCCTATAATGTAATGATATTCTGAAGAGTTTACAATAAGATAGTCATTAAAAGAAGTATGGAATTGGATTCTTAGACTCGAATAAATCTTTTTCAGCAGGAAGACAATGAAATTCATTGGTAAATTAAAAAATTCTTACCTTGAAAGTAGTTCCACTAATTCCTGAAAACCATTCTTAGCCGCAAGATCGGCTGGTGTATATCCTTCTTTATTCAATAATTGCACACATATATGACTTCCAGGTTTAGCCAATAGAAATAAGGCTACTTGAAATAGACCTAATCTAGCTGTAAAATGTAATAATGTTTCCCTCTCCACTTGTTTTATATCTGAAAGTAGTTTATAGTAATATCATTATCTACTAAACACTCATTTACCTTATATTAATGATATACAGGGTCAGTATGTGGTATATCATGCCTTATATTAATAATATACAGGGTCAGTATGTGTTTTATTAAGCTTATATTAAAAATACATTATGTTAGATTTAGATAAAGAGCTAGCCGTTCTTGCTATAATAGTTCGAAAATAGATAATGTAACATGAATAATGTGAAAATTTCATTCAAATTACTCTATTGCGAACGAAGATATTAGCCTTTGAAGGTTTGACAAGACATGTGCAATAATTTCAACCACCGCCCTAAGTCTCGCTCTTCCATTTTTAGCTTAAATCAAAATATGGCTGAACTGTCCTAATCTATTTAATATCGGAGAAATCCGATGCCATCGAGAGTTGATTATGACCTGGATAAGTTAATTAATGTCTAATTAATGATTTAGAAAACATTTCAGGCCTAAAGAAAGGCCTGCAATAGGCAGATTTAGCTCTTGCATAATGTATGTTTAATAATATACAGGGTCAGTATCCCTATGCCTTATATTAATAATACACAGGGTCGGTATGTGTTTTACTATGCCTCATATTAACAAAATACAGGGTCAGTACATGTATGTGTTATATCATGCCTTATATTAATAATATTTCGGGTCAGTGTTACTATGCCTTATATTAATAATTATCAGGATACCTAGCATCGCCAGGAGCCCAAATTTGATGGCCTAAAACATTCATGGGGTCATGCTGGTTAATTTGATACCCCATATGTGGGGGGTAGAGAGCGACGACGAAAGCGTGATTTGCCCTGAGTCCCAAATTCAATGGTCTAAAACATTCAAGGGGTCATTCAGGCCAATTCAATACCACATATGTGGGCATGGACTGATTTTATTTATATATGGGGGGGGGGGGGGGAATGGCCGAATGGTTAGCATGTGCGCACTGTATCATAAGGGCTGTCATTGAGTCAACTGGCGTGGTTTTGAATCCCCGGTTGTACGTGACAAGGAGTAGGGTTGCCTGTCCAACCTCATGGGTGTTCTATGGGTCCTTCCGGTTTCCTCCCACTGCTAAAGACCCCTACACATAAGCGAATTATTGAAATAAAATTAAACCATGTTAGTCCTGAAATAACCTAGTTTGTGTCAGTGGATGTTAAACCCCATCTCTCTCTCTCTTTCTTTTATTTGTATACACAGTGTTAGTATGTTTAACTATGTCTTATATTAGTGATACACACAGCCGGAATGTGGGTGGATGCAAAAGGAAGAATATAAATATTTGAAACATGCTCCAACAATAGAAGGTACTTGTATGTATAAATAACTTTTCATATTACTCTTGAGTTAATTTTACAATTGAGAACAAAAAGTCATACTGAAATCAATGTACCTGGTGGTAGGCGTTGACATCTTGTTTAACAGGTGTTTATTTTTGGAATATTTTATTTGTATTTCTATATTATTAGTATTACTGACCAATTATAAAACAATTACTTCTAAAAAGCTATGTCTCATGCTGACATTTCGAGCAAAACCATCAGAAGCCATTAGTTTCACATGAAAAATATAGAATTGGATCAAATTGAATTTTTTTTGGTTACAATTGGTTATTTCTATAATGGATTTATAATGTACACCAAAAATAGAAATATTTTCTAATAAGGTTTTTACCTACAAATCTTACTTTTCGAATTTCGCAATAAAGACCTGTTCTGGTTTGACTGCGCTAATGAAGACAGGTATACATGTACGTCATACAGTGTGCTATTTGGGAAATTTTGTCTACTCTTATATCGAATTCCATCCAAGCCTGAAAATAAGGCACATGTCACTGGCAGCACAATCTCAGGATTTGTAAATATTTTATCAGTTTGGATTCAGTAATGATCTAGACGGTCTGTTTTTTTTACATATATCTGATTTTAAAGTTAATAAAAAAATTTGATTTTTAATTATTTAATGATCTGAAATAAGGTACCTACATAACAATGAAACAGGGTTTAGCGTCCAACTTTTCTCCCCGACAGGGTTAATGAAGATGGGATCAACATAACATAAATGAAGTGTCCTATGAAATAAACTTTGCCTGGACAGCTTCCACCCACTGTTCATCAAATTTCAACATTCACAAGGCATACATTTACCCATCCAAACAACTAGACACTATTCCATGCCAGACTCTCCCCCTTCCATGCCAGAACCTCCCCCTACCATGCCAGACTCTCCCCCTTCTAAGCCAGACTCTCCCCCTACTATACACTAATGACAAAGGGAAACCAGACAGGAACATCTCGATGGAACTTACTTGATAGTAACTCTGTCACAGAGCAGCACACTGATTAATTTCTGACACCATTTTAAGTTATATATATCCATTAAAACATGAGAAATGAAATGAAATTGGGTTTAACGTCCTACTGTTCTGCTCCTATACTGGGCTAATGAAGACGGGCATACGCCATACAGTGTGCTATGAGGGAAATTTTGCCCGGGCAGCGGCACTATCGCCTACTCTTATATCGAATTCCAACTGCCAAGGGATCTTTTACGTGCATTCCAATGTATACACAGGACCTCGGTTTATCGTATCATCCGAAAGACTAGACAGCTGTCCATGTCAGGCCCTCCGTCCTGCATCACTGACAAGGGGAAACCACGTTAAAACATGAGATTACAAACAAAGAAACATTTGTTTATAAGTCACTTTAACAAACCAAAGGGCATAAATCAAAGACAGTTTTAAAATTTAAACAAGCCAACAGTCAGGCTGATGTCTCCCGCCAAATTGAAAAATTATTTAAATGACACACATTTTTGAAGGCATCATCGACGCAGAAAATGTTCATTATTGAACTTAGTCAAGGTATTGATGTAATGAAACTACAGGAAATGCGCACTATCAAACTTAGTCAAGGTACTTATGTAATGATATACTCATGTTTCACCATTCTCAATCAATTAGAATCAATTAAAGTTGTCAAATTCCAAAGTCTCGACCTATCAAATTACTCATCATCGAACTTAGTCAAGGTATTGATGTACCGAAACTATACTCCAAGTTTGATGTAATGAAATAATACACCAAGTTTCACCACTCACACGGAATTGGAATCAAAGGTATCATGTCCCCAAACATTGAACTTAGTCAAGGTACTGATGTAATGAAACTATAGGAAATGTGTATTATCAAACCTAGTCAAGGTATTGTTGTAATGACATATGCCAAGTTTCACCATTCTCACTCAATTAGAATCAAAGTTGTCGAGCTCCAAATCTCAACCAATCAAATTGCTTATCATTCTACTTAACCTGATCCGAAAATGCTCATTATCGAACTTAGTCCAGGTATTGATGTAATGAAACTGTAAACCAAGTTTCATCACTCTGACATAATTAGAAGCAAAGCCATTGTGTCCCAAAGGGTTGACCAATATAATTGTGTATCTCTGCTTAGCCTAAGCAGAAAATGCTCATCATCGAACTCAGTCAATGCATTCACCTAATCCAAGTTTGAAAATTCTAGCTCAATTAGAAGCAGAGTTATTTTGTCCCAAAAAGTGTGACGGACAGACAGACCCATTCTAATAGTCCCCTGCTTTCTTCGAAAGGGGGACAAAAAATATATATATATATTGAACATACCTGGTTCATAGCCAAGAATATTCCAACCAACAGGAAAAGGTATGTAACGAAATGCTAACACTAATCTCTCATCTAACGTTGTCCGTTCTTCGTTAGCTAAATCAAATCTGTCCGATCGTACAAGTTCTAAATTATCTAATGATTGGGTATTGTAAACACTATCCAGTAGAAATTGGACCATAAAATAGGCCGTGTCATACTGATAATAGAAAGGCACACTAGCTATAAAATGACAGGACCTCTGTACAACTCGATATATCGTCAATTCCACACTCTCTGGCTTTGCGTGAGCTGAAAATAAAAAGAGTTAAAATCAATTGAAGGTTAGATTGGAATCATATTAGGGTAGTAGTTAGTGATAAGGAGTTATGAAAGCATAGATCACTGGCCTAGTATGTCAGCCCTTTATAACAAGTTCCCACCTCCAGATATAAAGGTTTCCCAATGCTGCATGTGAAATGGAGCTTAATGTCCACTCAACACAAACCAGGTAATTTAGGGACTAATTTTATTTCTATAATTCGTTTGCGTTTAGGGTTCTTTAGCAGTGGCAGATACCCGGAGAAAACCCACAGGATTAGGCAGGCGACCCTACTCTTTGTCACACACAGACCTATAAGCGCATGTTAGACCACTCGACCACCCACACCTGGTTGACTAAGATAAACACACAATAATAACAGTGTTACCTGTACTTGACTTTCACCTGACAAAACCTAGTTTTACTGGGACAAGGTTAATTGGTTCTTGAGACCAAAGATGTTACAAGAAAGGATATAAGAGGGTAAAAGTGTAATAGAAAGAATTACACAAAGAAATAAGATTACATATTAATCAACATTTCAAAGAATTAAACCTTTAAACAGTTAAATTTTTGACTAATATCTGTGAAAACACTTAAAAATATAAATAAACATTGAGATAATGCTAACAATTCTTTGAAAACAACTTTTGCACAAAGAAATAAGATCTAAGTAATAGTATTTTTTTTTTTTTTTTGGTTTTGTTCCTAATTGCCACTGGGATTGAAATGGAGACTGTCTGGAGAATGAACATGATAACATACAGGTCAAACTCTATATCCTATCCATATGTATAGGTTTCAGTGTGTAACAATTAATTCTGTCTCTTGGGTTCTTATTTCAGTCATATATTACAAGTCTTGACTGACTGGCAGCATAAATAATCGGCTGGAGGACATAACTATCAGTCAATTTATATTCCATAAAATTTAAAATTTCAAAGTATGTAACTTTAAAACACAATAAATACAGTTAAAGATACTTTCCTGTGTACAAACTGTGTGATTTGATGATATATTTGGACTAAAAAAACATATTCAAACTAATTAATCAATCAAAACTTTGCTTCAAATCCTTTTTTAAAACTTTGTATACCTCAAACTATAAATAAACTGTTGTTAAAAGCCATGTATGTCACCTAACTTCAATCAGGGAGGGTTCATTTTTCAGAATGTATTTTTCATTACTTACTGCCCATTTACCATACATATTGAGGCCTAAGTGAATTCTTAATTATTTTCTGTCAACTTCTTTTTCCAACGTTTAATTGCAGAGTCTTTTGTACGTTGACACCTTCAATGTTCCCAAAACCACCTAACCATTTCATCAATTAATAACAATCACTCCCTCAGTTAAGATAGCACACAAAAATAAGCTGGCAGTCGGACTGCCAGTTAGTGATACCCCGACATATTTGCCCAGTGCTTGCAAAGTATTTTTCTAGTAAGACTGGGCATCTATACTTTCCATATAAACCAAAATTGTCATACTTTTATTGGATATAAAAAACCTGATAAGTACTTTCAGGACAATATATCTTTAAATCAATAGTTATTATCTGTAAAAACACTTTGAAAATTATAAATAAACATTTGGGTTAGTGCTAAAACTTCATTGAAAAAAATATTTTGCTATTCTGAAGTAAATCATTTTTTTTTAAAGATCTAGTTGTGAGAGAGAAATGGGGTTTAACGTCCACTCGACACAAACTAGGTCATTTCGGGACTAACATATGGTTAAATTTTATTTACATAATTCGCTTGCGCGTAGGGGTCTTTAGCAGTGGGAGGAAACCGGAGGACCCGGAGAAAACCCACGAGGTTGGAGAGGCGACCCTACTCCTTGCCACGTACAACCGGGGATTCGAAACCACGCCAGTCGACTCAATGACAGACTTTATGATACAGCGCGTGCACGCTAACCATTCAGCCATCCAACCCCCCAAAGATCTAGTTGTAGTCTGAACACTTTACCTATCATTTTGAGACTAACATATGGTTGTTTTAATTTGGATGGATCACATTATTTATTTCTTCACTGCCAAGACCGCTATACAACAAGCAAGCCAATAAATTGAAACACAATTGGACCATATTTTAATCCCTAAATGACCTAGTTTGTGTTGAGTAAAATCCATTTCTCCCCCTACCCCCTCTTCAAGCTAGTAAATCATTAAATCTAATACATCTCCATTTCTCAACCTTTACCAGATTAGAAATACATGTAATATACAGACTATTTTATTTCCCAACAGAATTTGACGCTGCTCATTTATCTGACTGACAAATTACAGCGCACTTCTCGGATTTTTCATCAAATATGAATAACTACATATTTCTAATAATTTAACGTCAGACTTTTCTGCACCAACTGGGCTAACAAAGAGAGAGAGAGAGAGAGAGAGAGAGAGAGAGGTGGTTTAACATCCACTCTACACAAATTTCGAGACTAACATATGGTTCAATTTAATTTCAATATTTCGCTTGAGCATAAGGGTCTTGGGGATCACGTGGCTAAGTGGGTAAGACGCTAGCTAGCTAGCCTGGAGGTCGGGTGTTCGATCCCTGCATTGGCCGAGAAAAAGTTCATCCAGATTTTCCGGCGTGGTTCTCCCTTGTCAGTGATGCAGGATGGAGGGGCTGACAAGGAAAGCTGTCTAGTCGTTCGGATGGGACGAAAAACCGAGGTCCCGTGTACACATTGGCGTGCACGTAAAAGATCCCTTGGCAGTTGGAATTCGATATAAGAGTAGGCTGTAGTGCCGCTGTCCGGGCAAAATTTACCTCATAGCACACTGTATGGCTTATGCCCATCTTCATTAGCCCAGGTTAGGAGCAGAACAGTAGGACGTTAAACTCCATTTCATTTCATTTCATTTCATTTCATAAGGGTCTTTAACAGTGGGAGGAAACTGGAGGACCCGGAGAAAACCCACAAGGTTGGACAGGTGACCCTACTCCTTGTCACATATAACCGGGGAATCAAAACCACGCTAGTTGACTCAATGACAGACCTTATGATACAACGTGTACGCACTAACAATTCGGCTATGTGTCAGACATGTATCAAGTCAATAAAATTACAGAAAAAGAAAAATTGGTGGCAGGCAAAATAACAAGCACAAGAGGGAGTGTGTCCGCTAAAATTTCATTTCAATTATTTGCTTGGGAGGAAACCAGAGGACCCAGAAAAACATATGAGGCTTGGCAGGTGACTTACTTTTGTCAGGATCAAAACTATGATTTATGACCTTGTGATTTAAAGCACAATATATTTTGGTCACAACCTTCCCCCTAAAGCAGAGAAGGGGTGGGGGGGCGCACGGTGACTAAGTGAGTAAGATGCTGACTCACTAGCCTGGAGGTTGTGGTTTCAAGCGTGGTGTGGGCCAAGAAAGTTCAAGATTTTCCGGCGTTAGTTTCCCCTTGTCAGTGGTGCAGGACGGAAGGCATTTGGATGGGACGATAACCAAGGTCCCATGTACACATTGGCATGCACCTAAAAGATCCCTTGGCAGTTGGAATTTGATATAAGAGTAGGCCATAGTGCTGCTCCTCCGGCAAAATTTCCCTCATTGCACACTGTATGGCGTATGCCTGTCTTCATTAGCCTAGTCGGAGTAGAACAGTAGGATATTAAATCCCATTTCATTTCAAAGCAGGAAAAAGTAAACAAAAACAAACAGTAGCTAAGCAAGTGACCTAATAAAAAATATAATAATTAGTTCTTTAGATCGGGTCTAATCTAGAATAGAATAAATAACGTTTAACTATAATAAGGTTGACTTTAGTTGATCAATATAACCAATATAATAACCAGTTAATATAATATACCACGTAACATTCCCATTAATTAATTCATCGTTCACGTCATAGTCTGCTCGAATGTACACCGAACACAGATTTATTAATCAATGAGGGTTTAAAATAGATATTTTATAATTGAGTTAATCTAAACAATTATGGCCGTTTTCATTCAAATTTTTTTGACTAAGTGATCCTGAAATGATTAAAAGATGAAACTAATTTACTTTTGACACAACTTAAATGAAATAAAATGGGGTTTTAACATCCTACTTTTCTACACTGACTAGGTTAATGAAGACAGGCACACGACATGCAGTGCGCTACATGTATGAGGGCACACTGATCAGCAGTGAATATTCACTAGGCCGCATCAATCACTGATAAGGATGACATCAATGTAACTTACTGAGCCACAAATATTAACTTTTTTCCTCCGACAAATTAAATTTTAAAACATTTTTTTATATATTAGAAAAATAAAGACGTTTGAAGTATTTGTAGGTAAAATTTATTTCCTATTTTAGTGTAAATGGGTATCAAAATGAGTAAAAGGCGCCATTCTGCTTGAATCAGTAACGTCAATGCACGCGACATTGAGCCAATGATATTGACGCCGCGTGATATTACATCATTCGTTGAAGGCAGTCATCTTTCACAGAGATATTACAAGACTTTCGTACTACAGATTGGTATGAGGGACATTCTGCCTGAGCAGCAGTGTTCTTCAAATTCAAAATGTCAAGGATTCTTTTATGTGCACAGAATCCTTATTTTGGGGGGGGGGGGAGGGTCCCATCCAGACAACTAGACAGTGTTCCTTTCCAGACCCTCTGTCCTGTACCTGACGAGGAGAAACCACACTGGAAACAAACCCCCTAATTAGTGAGTCAGTGCCCCATATATAACATGATGATGATTAATGAAGCTGAATACATATTACAACATTGACTGCATTAGCTGATAAAATCCTATGTAGCCTGTTTCAATGGCAGTTAGTAATTAAAATGGATATACATGTATCAAACACAATTGTATTGAATACAACTGTGGTTTTATTACTGGATGATATTTCAAATACATGTAGAGTTATCTAGTCATTTATCAAAAAACAACTGCATATTGCTGTGAATATCCTTTGTCCTAAATGACTAAACATCGCTGGTTTAAATATTTAATAGCTTCC